TGCCTGATTATTTTGATGTCTGAATGTAGGTAGATACTGCTGTCCAAGTTGTATGGGTGATCAGATGGCCTCAGTGAAGTTAAGTGATTTGCCCAAGGCTGGTCGTATGGCTGTTAACTAGCAGAGATAGAACTTTAACCCAGGCCTCCTGACTCCCAAGCCTCCTGCTCCTAGCCGTTCTGATACACCAGTTAGTCTGGTGACGAAACAGCCTCCCCTGAAATACCATGCCGACCAGATTCAGAAGATCTCAGCAACTAAGAGCTGCAGATGAGGAACATTTGAGCAAGAACAGTTCCCAGTGGGCGTGGGTGCCGTGAGCAGTCCTTTTTGGAGCTCCTCTTGACATGTGGCTCATGCTCAGTCCCAGAATGGGAAAGATCAAGGGCTACTAGACTGAACACCCACTGTTTTACTTCTCCATCTGAGACCACAGCAGGCCCTGCGATGGGGATGGCCAAGGACCAGGATCCCTGGGAGGGTCCTGCGCTCCGGTTTGAATGCATCAGCAGCTCGCTCACGTTACAGCATGACAGGTCAGCTCCCAGGACGGGGTAGGTTACTTTGAATAACACGAATTTAAGAACTAGTTAATATGAATTAGGATCATCCCCAAATAGCTTTTCTTTTTTCCTTTTTTCCCTCAAGTCCTATGTGCTTACTCCTGAGAGATTAGAAAACACAAAAAGAAGTAAAAAAAAATTGAAAATACAGACAAAAAGAAGACGTAAGGAAAAAACTCTCACTTCCTTGCCACCCACAAATAACCATCTTAACATATATTTTTCCAACCTTCTTTCTGTTAAACTTTTATCACCATGTGTTAGGTATTCCGTTTTTAGCATATTTGTATACCTGATCTCATTAGGTCTTCCCAACACGCAAGGTATTATAACCCCCGTTTTACGAAAAGGGAACTGAAGCTCTAAGGGGTCTGCCTCATTTGAGAGGATGTGCTCTTTACTGTACCCCTAAATGCACATGTTATACACACATAGTTATTTAGCGAATACGTACCAAGGGCCTCCTCCAAATGGGTTGGTGCCGCAGCGAGGCCGAGTGTGTGGAATGTGTCAGAGCTTTGCTGCCGCAGGGAGCGTGGATGCAAGGACAGATTCGGGTTTTGTGGGGCCCCACACTTATGCCACTTGGGTTTCTCTTTAAGAAAAAGAATATACAATTTTGAATACAGGATTCGATACAAAAGTGAGTATTTACTTAGAAGGAGAAGAGGATAGAGAGTCAGTTCCTTTCTTCCTCCGGAGCTCTCTTGAGGCAGTTGATCTGAAAAGCATACATGAAAGGCTTCCTCATTGGAACCTGGTGTTTCCTGCTGCCCAGAACACTCCACCCTCCAGGGCCCTGCTGCTTTCGCTTCCTTGGCTTCTCAGGCCAAGTTGGAGACCGTGTACAAGGGAAGACTCCGGATCCAGGGGTGTGGGGAGGGGAGGAGTCACCTTTCTGAGCTGAGAGCTGGTGTGGGCCTGGAGTCATCCCAGCAAGAATTCCTGTCCCACTCTAGGAGAAAAAAAAAAAAAAAAAAAAAAAAAAAAAAAAAATATATATATATATATATATATATACACACACACACACAAATATTTGCTGGCATTCTCATAATTTTATGGTTTCATGTTTTGTCTTTGTTAGATCTACAGTTTAATTTGGTGAATGTTTTGGAGTAGGGATCTAGTAATTTTTTTTCCCAAATTTTAACCAGTGACTTCAATATTACTTGTTAATTAATTTACCTTTTCCCCTTGATTTGAAATGCCACCTTTATGATCTATTAAGTTATTTATTCTTGGATCTGTGTCTGGATTTTCTATTCTGTTGCATTGATAGGCCCCTTTATTGCTGGGCCATTACTCACTTGATCATTAGAATTTAAACTATATTTTCATATTTGAGAGGGTGGGGTCTTACCCTGTCCCCTCAATAGCTTTTGTTTTAAAACAACTTCTTTACTCATCTAGTTATTTTTCTAGATGATGGTTAAAACCATTTTGCTAAGTTCCAGAAAAAAAAAAATTGTTGGGATTTGATTGGGTTAGTATAAATTTTAGGTTAATTTCTAAAGACTTGAAATCTATATACTATTAAATTATATTTTCCAGAAATGTGGTATATCTATTTATTCTATTTTCCCTTTATGTTATTAGTGCCCCCCCCCTTTTTGTCTTTTTGGCAAATTTTGAATGCTCAGTCTAGGTAGTTAATTTTTGTTATGAAAGGGATCTTATGTCCCTCTTCTATAACTTTTCTAACTGGCTGTTGTTGGTATGTAGAAAGGCTTTTCAGAAAGGAACATGACCCCTTACCAAACTTAGTAATTCTAATAATTGTTGAATTGTCAGGCCTTTTGATCTTGTTTTCACTTTTTGAAAACTGTATTTGGAGTGGCGTCTGATGCATCAAAAGCTGTAATGACTGGCCCTCGGCTGTGGGCGGTATCCAGGGCATGGTGACCTGATCAGGCAGGATTACTGATTTTGATAACTGTGACTGAACAAATTTGGGTCAAGGTTAGGACGCACAGAACTTGTAGAATTTATTATAAATCATCGAGAGTCTGACAACGTGTAAATCACACAGCACAGATCAAATCGCTTATCCTGATTGGACATTTAACTTGACCATGGTCCTGCGATAGTTCACAGCTGCGTATCTCTTGCCTGTCTGTGCTGCTGATGTTGGCAAATCAGGTTCCCCAGGGTTATTCAAAGGGATGCTGTGTTCAGGGTGAACGTGTTTTACCTGCTCTTCACTGTATAAAGGACACCAAACTGAACTACCCGTAGATAAACACAGCTAATAGGGATTTCCTAAATGTTTGGGCATTTACTGATGGTGATCTGCTGTTGGATTTGTGGGGGCCCTTGGCTGTAGTACCCTGCTTCTGAATGCAGAACGGGACTGTGTTATCCTTTATCTGTGCTTACTGGAAAGACTGCTTAGAACAAGACCTCAAGTGTGGGCAGACAGACTGATTCCAAAATTAGCAGGCTTGCTCAGGCTGTGTTGTGGAGTGGCTCAGGAGGTGAGTAACCTGAGACCGTATCTACAACTTACCCGTGGTTTAGACCGATTTTACTTGAATGTTGTTTCACACTGAAGCAACATCATTTCTGGGCTTATACCCTAGTGTGAGTTAGTGAGTATTCTACTTTGGAAGAGCCAGAAGGGGAAAGACCACAAGTCCCAGGGGTGTGGTGATGACAGGGGTCATCTTTGTGATCTCGTGTATGTGGGTGTGTGACAGAGGGAAGTACCCCCAGTGGGACTAAAATTTAGGAACCCAGTTTGGGGAGTGCTGGGAATCATTTTATTTCTAATTAAGAAGAGCCCCTAGGAAGGGAAATAAGTTAGCTTGCCAACTCATTTGCAGACATTCTGATTAGACCTTCATGGCACATTGTCTGGTGGCTGGACGTAGGGATAGGAGGGACAGCCCGCCCCTAACATTTGTCGGGCCTGGGACAGGAGTATAAATGGAGGCTTAGGTACCGTGTGTCTAAATAAATATTTCAAAGTTACATGTCAGCCTATCTATAAATCAGGTTCTAACCCACTCTCTTGATAAGTAGACCTTCGTAACAACCTGGACAGCCAGATTCAAATGCAGAATTCTCACAGTCCTCAAGTTTCTTGTTCAAAATCTCCCTGTGGCACATATAGACACCCCTGGCCTCAGGCGCCCCCAAGTCTGTCTGTACCTCCTGTGAACAGCCTCCCTTGTGCAAGCTGTGGAGTGGTACTCCCTTGACAGAATGGACCCAGGCAGGTATGGAAGCAGGTCCCAGGACCTGTGATGGCATCCTAGGGGCTCTGTGAGCTCCTTCCCCCATGGAGGTGGCATGGCTGGAAGAGGTGTGAGTAGGGTCCTGTAAGCATGGTGCCCAGGATATGGGCCCAGCCTCGCACCCAACCTGAGGTTCACAGGGCAGGGGGTGGATGTGGGAAGAGTGGATGGAGCAGCGGGTGGGAGCTTAGAACCCCAGAATAGGTGAGGTGCTCTAAGGGGTGAGATCAGATGCCCCAAGCACGAGGGCCCTGGGATGGGCCAAACTGTGATTGTAGAAATGCTCTTTTATTATTTCTGGATTATGGGCAGCATGTGTTGAGATTCACAACTCATGTGATACAGACCCAGTGGACATGTCCTGCCCCTTTCTCAGACCTCTCTCCTCCCCTGTCCCCTAGTCCCCAGGTCCTCCTCACAATGTGGGCTTCAGTGTTGGTGGTGACAAGGGTCTGCTGTGATGGAAGGAGCCAGAAGTGGGGCTGGGGAGAGGTGGAGGGCAGACGGCTTCACTCCCGCTTTTGTCTCCCCTCACTGTTCTTACAGATCTGCTCCTCTGGTCCTCATGCCCTTGCCTCAGCCTCCCACACTCACCCAACACCTGTCTCTCCACTTCCTTTCCATTCTCATTTTCTGTTCCATTTTTGCCTGAGAATCTTCTTCTTCCCCATTCTTGGTGGCGGTGGCTTGGCCGGGGCCCTGGGGGCTTGACGGGGAGCTGAGGGGTACTTCCCTTGCATCCCAGCAAGCTGAGGTGTTATTATAGTAGTACTATATTCAGGTACTTTACAATTTAATAGGCTTTTGTGGGTCGACATGGAAACCTAACAGCCACTAATAACATTATTTCTATGGAGAAGTACGTTCCCAGTTTCAAATAACTGATTTACAAGTGAACTTTCAGAACAAAACCTGTTTGTCATAGTGGCTGTTATTTTTAGAATTTTGGATCTGAAAAGTGCTCTTTGTACATCAGTAAATGAATTGAAGCAAATGTAACCTGATGTGTGGGGCCCCTTGTGGCTCTGAAGGCCTATTTTTACAGGTGAGAAAACTGCGATCAGAGAATGTGAAGTGCTGTGTGTAAAGCCAAACCCAAAGCCTTGTCCGGAACCAGGCCTCTGGTCCCAACTTGCTGCCCCCTTTTATTACTATCAGGACATATGAGGGCCATTTTGATTAGCAAAGGATATGAGCACCTGCATCTCTTTGGGGACAGATAGTTCACGAGGTGTTTCGGGGACACGGCAGCCTGGAACCATGGTAGATGCTGCCGGACTCCACCTGTCCGCACAGGAGCCTTTGGAAAAGACAGAGGGCTACTTGTTAGATTTCATGCACGTGACCACGTCCAATGAGAGGATATTTGAAGAGAAGCAGCGAGAATCACAGCTTTTTAGTGCTTAAAGGCCGCTACAGGGGTCATTTGATCAACATTCTCAAAGTGTCTCTCTCTGTCCATACTTTAAAATGAGACTGATCTGCATGTGGAATTAAATTGTTGGAATTTTTTTTAACACGGCTTGAACATTTTTATAACATAGCTGTAATAGCTACTTTAAAGCCTTACCGTGATAATTCTAACGTCCAGGTCATGGCTTTGTTGCCGTCTTGAACTTCCTTAACTTTAAGTGTTCCAGTACAGAAAATAAGAGCTCCTGTTTCACAGAACTTTGAAATTGTTTTCTCTGGTGTCAATTGCACAATATCTGTGAAGCTGTTTCCTCACCTATAAAATCAGGATCATGATGCATCAGGATGACACGACAAGAAACACACAAAGCCCCTGGCACTGCGCCTACCTCACTGATGGTGTGGTTTCTGTCCTTCTTGTCATTGTTGTCACTGTCACCAGGGATTCCCTGTCACTGCTGGGAGGCTCTTCTATCCACTCCTGAACAGGTTTCTCGGTGCTTTCTGGCACCTCCTCCTCAGTTTGAAGAGATTGCCTATTCAGAAAAACCTGTTGCATATTCCGAAGAGCCCTCCTTCATGGGTCAAGAGCCACAGAATTGCTTTGTTTCTTTTTACGTGTTTAAGATTTTTGGTTTGTTACGTTCCAGGAACTACTTTTGATTCCTCTTGGCTGCCTCTAAGTTCTTTCAGTTATGGCTTTTCTCTTGACCTTTCTCTGTGCCCTATTTGTCTTGGACCTTCTTTTCTTAATAAGCTGGGGACATAGGGATATCCCTTAAGCCTATTTACCTTCTCAGTTAGGTGCTTGATTTGCATTTATGTCAAACATCATCAGTAACTGCTCAGCTATGAGGATAAAATGAGACCAGTCTTTCTAAAGTTGAGCCATCCTTTTTTGTGGCTTTTCCTGGAATAGTTTCTATGGTCTGTCATCGGTTATCTGAAGAATTCCCAGTCTGGAGTTTCCCTCACCCTCTCCTGACCTTTGTCTGCTTGCTAGGTTTTAGTATTCCACACTAATTCCCATCATCCAATCTGATGTGGTATATTTGTCACAAAGCAAATGTACAGAGACCTCTTTATACTTCCTGTCCAGCCCTTTGCCCCGGGTGCTGGGTGTTAAGGTTTACGTGGTGTCTCACACTGGGGATTGGTTCCTGAGGAAATGACTTGGGAGTTTACAATGTGGCTAAGTAGCATTTAGTAGGATATAATGTTTTTCAGACAATTTGAAAATTCCAGTTGTCAGTGACTTTTAACATTGTCTACAAAGGAATCCTATAGCCTTGCTGAATTTGTGCACTTTCCCCCAGTCCAGATATTCACTCTTCAAAATGACTTTTCCACGCCTTTTCTTTTCTCCTCAAGCCTCCAGCATCTTCTCACCCTTCCTTATATCTGGGGGTGGCCTTGCTTCTCATTTCACTGATAAAGTAAAAACACTTAGAAGACGGTATATCCTTTTGGTGCTGAAGCTACACCCACCCACCACATCTGTCTGTATAGACTCTGATTTCCTTCCAATCCATGCTCTCATCTGTATACCTATCCAAGGCCTGCTCTTCTTGCACTGGACTCTGTCCCTTCCCACTTACTCAAGGATATTGCTTTAAAGTTGATCTTCACTCCCTGCATCCTTAATTTTCCCCCTCTCCTGGATCAGCCCCATCAGCACACAGAAATATCTTATATCTTAAAAAATTCACTCTTGAACCCACTTCTAGTTTTCAATTTATCCCATTTGGTTCTTTTTTTACAGTTTCTGTTCCTCTGCTGGGAACACCCAGATTTCCAGTGATTTTGAGATAGTTTGCCTCCTAGAGCATAGCTCTAATGGCTACTTTCAAGTCTTTACTTGGTAATTCTAACATCTGGGTCATACTGGGGTCAGCATCTGTTGATTGTCTTTTCCCTTGGGAATTGGCCACATTTCCTTGGTTCTTTGTGCACTGGGTCATTTTGCATTGTCCAGAACACCGTGAATGTTACGTTGTGTAAACTCGGGGTCCTTTTGTAATCCTGGAGAAGTGTGTTCATTTCTGTAAGCAGGCAATCAGCATGATTAAGTTTAGGCCTCTAGTTCTATCTCACCCTCTCTGAATTAATGGTTCCCATGCAGTTTAGTTTTCCATAGCCTCTGCTTTCTATTTTGGGTCTGTCCTGCCCATGTGCAACTCAGGGTGACCCTGAGACTTGAGTGGGCTCACACACAGAACTGGGGGATCCCCTTCCCTAGCTTTCTCCTCTCTGTGGTTCCACTCGTACTTCTTGGCTCACAGGAGCCAGACAGATGGGGTTTCTATCTGAGATTTGTGCAATCGTGGACCTCTGTGATTGGAGCCCATCCTCTGGGCAAGGCCTCAAGAGAAAAGAGAGACAGATGAAGAAGGAGGGTTGTGGGGAGAAAGTGAGGGAAAGGTGAGGTTGGGGAGGGAGATGAACTCTTTGAGGGTCACTTTTCCAACTTTTGTTTCCTTTCCACAATCTGCTTGCTTTCCACCCCCCCCCAAATTTATTTTATTGCGGTGAGATACACATAACATAAAATTTACCCTGCTGATCATTTTAAGTGTACAGTTCAGTGTATTAATTACATTCATAATATAATGCTACCATCACGACCATCCATCTCTAGAGCTCACTCTTCTTATAAAACCAGAACTCTGTATCCAGTAGACAATGACTCTCCTGCTGCCAGTTCCTGGAAATCAAAATTCTACTCTCTGCCTCTATGATTTTGACTACTCAAATATGTCATATAAATGGAATCATAGAGTGAGTGTTTGTCTGTTTTGTGACTGGCTTATTACACTTACTAGAAAGTCTTCAAGGTGCATCCATGTTGTAGCATAGGTCAGAATTTCCTCCTTTTTTTAAAAAAAATTTTTTATTGTTATGTTAATCACCATACATTACATCATTAGTTTTTGATGTAGTGTTCCATGATTCATTGTTTGTGCATAACACCCAGTGCTCCATGCAGAACGTGCCCTCTTTAATACCCATCACCAGGCTAACCCATCCCCCCACCCCCCTCCCCTCTAGAACCCTCAGTTTGTTTTTCAGAGTCCATTGTCTCTCATGGTTAGTCTCCTCCTCTGATTTCCCCCCCTTCATTCTTCACCTCCTGCTATCTTCTTCTTTTTTTTTTTTCTTAACATATATTGCATTATTTGTTTCAGAGGTACAGATCTGTGATTCAACAGTCTTGCACAATTCACAGCGCTCGCCATAGCACATGCCCTCCCCAGTGTCTATCACCCAGCCACCCCATCCCTCCCACCCCACTCCCCACTCCAGCAACCCTCAGTTTGTTTCCTGAGATTAAGAATTCCTCATATCAGTGAGGTCATATGATACATGTCTTTCTCTGATTGACTTATTTCGCTCAGCATAACACCCTCCAGTTCTATCCATGTCGTTGCAAATGGCAAGATCTCATTCCTTTTGATGGCTGCATAATATTCCATTGTATATATATACCACCTCTTCTTTATCCATTCATCTGTCGATGGACATCTTGGCTCTTTCCACAGTTTGGCTATTGTGGACATTGCTGCTATAAACATCGGGGTGCACGTACCCTTTCGGATCACTACATTTGTATCTTTGGGCTAAATACCCAGTAGTGCAATTCCTGGATCGTAGGGTAGCTCTATTTTCAACTTTTTGAGGAACCTCCATACTGTTTTCCAGAGTGGCTGCACCAGCTTGCATTCCCACCAACAGTGTAGGAGGGTTCCCCTTTCTCCGCATCCCCGCCAACATCTGTCATTTCCTGACTTGTTAATTTTAGCCATTCTGACTGGTGTGAGGTGGTGTCTCATTGAGGTTTTGATTTGGATTTCCCTGATGCCGAGAGATGTTGAGCACTTTTTCATGTGTCTGTTGGCCATTTGAATGTCTTCTTTGGAAAAATGCCTGTTCATGTCTTCTGCCCATTTCTTGATTGGATTCTTTGTTCTTTGGGTGTTGAGTTTAAGAAGTTCTTTACAGATTTTGGAGACTAGCCCTTTATCTGATATGTCATTTGCAAAGATCTTCTCCCATTCTGTCGGTTGTCTTTTGGTTTTGTTGACTGTTTCTTTTGCTGTGCAAAAGCTTTTTATCTTGATGATATCCCAATAGTTCATTTTTGCCCTTGCTTCCCTTGCCTTTGGCGATGTTTCTAGGAAGAAGTTGCTGTGGCTGAGGTCAAAGAGGTTGCTGCCTGTGTTCTCCTTTAGGATTTTGATGGACTCCTGTCTCACATTGAGGTCCTTCAACCATTTTGAGTCTATTTTTGTGTGTGGTGTAAGGAAGTGGTCCAATTTCATTCTTCTGCATGTGGCTGTCCAATTTTCCCAACACCATTTGTTGAAGAGACTGTCTTTTTTCCATTGGACATTCTTTCCTGCTTTGTCAAAGATGAGTTGACCATAGAGTTGAGGGTCCATTTCTGGGCTCTCTATTCTGTTCCATTGATCTATGTGTCTGTTTTTGTGCCAGTACCATACTGTCTTGATGATGACAGCTTTGTAATAGAGCTGGAAGTCCGGAATTGTGATGCCGCCGGCTTTGCTTTTCTTTTTCAACATTCCTCTGGCTATGCGGGGTCTTTTCTGGTTCCATACAAATTTTAGGATTATTTGTTCCATTTCTTTGAAAAAAGTGGATGGTATTATTATTATTTTTTTAAGATTTTATTTATTTATTTGACAGAGAGAGACACAGAGAGAGAGGGAACACAAGCAGGGGGAGAAGGAGAGGGAGAAGCAGGCTTCCTGCGGAGCAGGGAGCCCGATGTGGGGCTTGATCCCAGGACCCTGAGATCATGACCCGAGCCGAAGGCAGACGCTTAACGACTGAGCCACCCAGGCACCCCAAAAAGTGGATGGTATTTTGACAGGGATTGCATTGAATGTGTAGATTGCTCTAGGTAGCATTGACATCTTCACAATATTTGTTCTTCCAGTCCATGAGCATGGAATGTTTTTCCATTTCTTTGTGTCTTCCTCAATTTCTTTCATGAGTATTTTATAGTTTTCTGAGTGCAGATCCTTTCCCTCTTTGGTTAGACTTATTCCTAGGTATCTTACGGTTTTCGGTGCAGTTGTAAATGGCATCGACTCCTTAATTTCTCTTTCTTCTGTCTTGTTGTTGGTGTATAGGAATGCCACTGACTTCTGTGCATTGATTTTATATCCTGCCACTTTACTGAATTCCTGTATGAGTTCTGGGGTGGAGTCTTTTGGGTTTTCCACATAAAGTATCATATCATCTGCAAAGAGTGAGAGTTTGACTTCTTCTTTGCCGATTTGGATGCCTTTGATTTCTTTTTGTTGTCTGATTGCTGTGGCTAGAACTTCTAATACTAGGTTGAATAGCAGTGGTGATAGTGGACATCCCTGCCGCGTTCCTGACCTTAGGGGGAAAGCTCTCAGTTTTTCCCCATTGAGAATGAGAGTCGATGTAGGTTTTTCATAGATGGCTTTTATGATATTGAGGTATGTACCCTCTATGCCTATACTCT